ACTGAGTATTTATTATCATAATAGTAACGATTATGACTCCGTACAGGAATAAAGAATTTGCATTCTATCCAAACCCTTATCTCAAGAACCCGCCMAACAACGTTCATGACTTAGACGTCAAGGTCGGTGATGGAATCTTTAACGAGCTTCGCATGAACACGAGGTCAAGTAAGTATGAGGAAAAAGTATCTACAAATTGAATTGTAATCGATTCTTTGATCGTATATATTCTTGAAAGCTCAAGGAACTGAATTGAATTAGGGYTTACAGGTTTTACTCTTTACGCTGATCTTACATACACTTGCTGCTATGCMGCCAAGATTCGGGTACACAGGAAGCCCAAATTTCATATTGCGGCTCCTTTCAACATCCAAACATTGTAATTTTTAACACAATTGAAAATTTCTTGACTTCTGATTAGTCGAGAGTTTTAGTTCTTTTCTATTCTTTCTTTCTTTCTTTTTCTATTATTTTTGAAAAATTTATGCAATAAGTCAGAAAGCAAGTAAATTATAAACCGTGATTTAAAAAAATACATCAATTTTTCTTGTGCTCATATCACGCGCAAATTACTTTTAAATCTATTTATAAACTCTGTCATCATTGTTCTACATCAATATTAGACTCGTTAGATAGCCGATTTGCGAATTTCGCCTCAGTAGTCAAACACAAAAGAATCAAGACGAGGCGTCGTGCGTAAAGCTCAGTCAATTGTGAAAAACTATTGTCTTTTCACAAATGACTGAGCTTTATGTACGGCGCCTCGTCTTGATTCCTTTGTGCGTGTCTACTGAGGCGAAATTCGCAAGTCGGCTATTGCAAACACATAAAGCACGAAAGAGCGCTAATCAAAGGAGAGTGCTAAATAGTGTATAGATTAGACAATAAAACAAAGGGAATTGCATAATTCAGCAGAATTTAGCATTGACACACGGGCACTGCATAGTCCATATCGCAACCCGCKGAGAGCCTTGTGACGCAATGCATTTTGGGATTGATATATGAGTAAACAAGTGAACAACGATGTCAGTGCTCCAGTTGTCTGTAACGTAGACCAAGTTTATGAAAAACATTGGGAAATATTGATATTGTAGTTAATCTCAGAAGCGAAAAAACAAACAAATATCGACAAGCAATGAAATACAGCAAGAAAAGCCTCCAAAAAATGTACAGTTAATCGAAAAATTTCCATTTACTAGGCGGATCAAGCAAAAATTAAAACAAACATATGTTGTCTGTGGAAAAATCGAAACTAATTAGTGTTTTTACGATTTTAGTCATTTGTTTTGATGAAGAAAGGGAGATATATATCCCATGATACATTGCAAAACGATTCAAAATGGCGGGCTTGTGATATGGACTATGGTAACGAGTCCCCAAGCAAACTACTTGAGTTTCATGGTCCATCAACGGGTGTTTGTTCGCCATTACTAACATGGGTGGTATTAATCTGAGACCRTTTTACATCTTTAAGGAAATGCATTTGATGGCCGTGTGTACCGATGTGATAACGAAGCAACCAACTTTTGGCACGGAAGAAATGGAGGGGGGTTACGGAGTGCTACCGTGATGCTCCGCAGGTCAAACGTGAGAGCCAAAGCCGGTATGCTGACTGAAACATCGTGCGGGACACCAACCTACGTCATAAAGGACATCTGGGTTCTAATGTGATTCGTACAGATATTTTCACTAAGAAAAGTAAATAATAATCAATGAATAAATAATTAAATATTTGGATTGTTGCAATTTTGTAATCAGAGCAAAACTTCCTCAAACAACGTCTTATTTTTTGGTAAAATTTTGAACAACTTTTTAGTTGTTTCAATAATACTTTTTACACAAGTGATTAGATTTACAATAGGAGCAACTCTTCGAATAAACGTAATTTCTATCTTGAGTACATTTTAAATATTTGTGTCCTGGGGCTGGTTGTATATTNTAAAAATATCTCTAAATCCCTTCAAAACCATACGCAGCAATGTTAAATAACATCAACAACACATGATATTAAGTTGAAATGTATTTTCTTAAAAAAAACAATTTTGAATCCCATATATTCACTGTAAAGTTCAAATACTCTGCTTGGGTTGGCTGTGGGTAGACTACAAGGTTAAACTTGAGATGAATTAGAGCGCGACGTCCCAACGCAAACAACCATCAATGCGCCATTACTTAATGTCAATTCAACCATCACACATCGCTAGCTCTAGTAAACCTAGTAGTAAGCCGTTGGAATCAATTCCTTTCGSCGACCTGCCACCACTGATCCGGACTAGCAGACGTCTCTCGAACGGCTCGCAATGCATGAAGGGAAGGGTGCGAAGCAGTCGTCAATTTTTTTCTCTCCTTCCCATCAACCCCTTCGAGCGTATCGATAAAAAATCGCAACGACCTGGTACGACTCTGACGCTCATATTTAGTGATTAAAGAAAACATGGGATGCCGATAGCTGAAATGTGTTTTCACATAACGCGCCATTACATCATGTTACATGTCATTCAGGATTAACATGCTTGATTTTTCCGTCATGTTTTTTTTTCACTTCGTTTGTACGTTACGTCATAGATCGAAAAAAAAATTATTTTAAATTTAATTTCCCATTGTACCCGAAATTATGTTCATAACAGTTAGCCGCCATTTCTGGTGGACTTCAGAGATCCACCAGTACGGTGTCGCCATACATTTCTTTGTAAAGATCTGTATATAAAATTGCTTATAAACTTGCAACAAAARCTCGGTTCGACTCAAAATTTCACAGAATTACAGAATTTAAAATAAAACTCCTTTCGGAAAGAAAAATTCTCAGGGATTACAGAGTTTTACTCGCTCTCTCACATGGATTACTTGAATTTTGTTTATGGCTAATTTTACAAAACRTTTATTTTTCCATGAAATGCCGTGAAAACGAAGAATAGGAAACAAGTGATTTGAATTTGGATTCCGGATTTTTCTTKTTTTATCGGATTCCATTTTCAAAATATTCAGAMTTTTAAAAAGTTAGAGTGAAAAGAATTTTGTTTTTAAGGAGGTGAATTTCAATATTAAAATATTCGAACCAGTTCTATACGTGCCTAAGGTCTGCCTAACGTTCCACGATTCACTTGAGCGAACCTGGATTTTTATTACAGTATTTACGACCTTCAGGATAACCACGTGTATATAGTTATGGTGAGGCGTTGATTCATGCGTCGAACCAAGTGCCGTGAAAAAGATCCGATAAAATGCACGTTGACAGATGCTTTATTGGGCAAAACTGAAGGCCACCGAGACTGTCGGCTCATATTCCCATGATGCATCGGGCAACGACAAAAAGTGTATTTGCACATGATGTGGGTTGGTTTGTTCAGCTTGTTGGCGATGTCTCGTTCGGAATGTTCAAAATTTCAGATGATATATGGCCAGAAGATAGCCAGAATCCTTCGTGATAATACCATTAATCACAAGGTAAATGTTTGAATGACTAATGGAAGTGTTTGAATTGATGCATGTATGTTATACGACCTTATACAGTCAAGTTTGACAAAGTTCAGCGGACGTTTCGCAAATTCCTTTGTATTAAGCGTGTTATATTGCGTGCCTTTCTGCTTGGTTTTCATCCCCAAAACAAGTTAAAAATTGCGTTTTTAAGATTGTTCAGTCATTTAAAATTATTTTAATGTTTGTAGCATAAGTTATCTATTATTCCTTTTTGTAATTTTTATGATTTTCGTGCCTGCTGCCTCCGATGCGAAACCACGCGATTGTACCTAGTTTCGCCGATGAGAATGTTCGCCGAGCCTACTTTCGCCGAGTAGTCGGGACTGTTCGCCGAGGTGTTATATTCAGTTCGAGGGTACTATGTCGAGGGTCGAATTTTACTAAAAAAATTTCAATGATGAATAATTTTGCATTTGAAATTTTGATGAATAAGTTTTTATGTCGATGAAACGGAAAAGAGATGAAAAAATCCCCAAACTAAAATCGAATGAGCTTTTGTTTGTATGTTTGTATTACTCTTCTTTAAGTGACAGGGTTATCACTGACGGATGGCGGATGGCTATCCGAATTCAACTAATATTAATATTTGATATTATTATTGTAAATGTTTTAAGCTTGATTGCCAGTTTTTCGGTTTAATTGCAATGAATGTCCAGGAATGACCAGTATGAAGCATTTAGTACTTTGAC